GACGCGAAAGCCAGCAGTCCATTTTCAAAGAAACCACTTCCAGCAGAACCGGCGTGACAAATTATCAGTCGCGATCCTTTTCCAATTGTAACCTTTGAGGTTGATGCTTTTGTTTCGTCAGTCCAAGAGCGTGACACTGTGTGGTTCGCATTTAACCATGTTTCGTCAACAAAAACGACGTTGTCCCAAGACTCGATTTTTCTGGCTTCTCTTAAAAACTCGCTCCTTTTAATTATTAAATCAAATCTTTCCATTAATATCTTCCTTTTTATTCGTTTTTTTATATTCAAACCCAATTTCGTGCAATAGTTTTGACAACGCCGTTTTACCGCCTTTAAACAAGCCAGCTTCTTTTAAAGAGACCAAAAGCAAACGTCTAGTTGGAAACTCGTTCCTAGTATAATAGGTTTCTTATTGCATCTGTATCAAAAACATCAACACCTGTCACGGGCTTTTGTCTTCGTTTTTTCTTAGGAGTGCGTAAAACATTATCTTCACTTCCAGAAGCACCAAATTTTTCTTTATTTATATTATATAGTGTTTTTGCACCCATTCCAAGAGCTTGTGAAACCCGATCTTTCACTTGAGTGACAGGAATCAAAGGGCCGCCATTTTGTCACTCACGCTCAAAGTAATCCTGTAGCTTTAGTACAAGCTCACGACATTGACTATTCAATGTTTTTCCTCGTTTCGGCATTTTCAACAAAATTACCAAACACAAACAAAATTGGTCCAATAAAGCGCAACGATAAACAGGAGAAAGCCGAGTCAAAAAACAACGGTTACACAAGAGAACGTAGTCTGTGCGCACGAGATTACGGAAGACGACTAAACAGATTAAAATAGCGGTGGTAAGGGTGTTGCCAGAATAGTATCGCCAATTACTTAAAAAACAATATAACATTGCTTAATTGAGGGAGAAAATTATATTTATTAAATGTTGTTTTATATATTATGAATGTTAAAAATTATACATAATCATTTTAATTGTATTTATTTTTAAATCATAGAAAACAATATTTCTGTCTTTGGATCACACATAAATCTTAAAAATCATAGAGATACTGGCAACACAGTGCAATTAGGAGACGCAAAAAAAAATGGTAGCATTATAGTCTAGTTGCTCGAAGAAATAAGTAAAATAAAAATATCCAAATAATATCTATCTATTCCAATGAATTCGGACCGAATACTATCAAGCACATCACTATGAAAACTAGACGCACGATGTAACTTTGTACAAGCGCGCCAAAGAACAAAAAATAAATGTTTTCATATTATTTACAAACTATTTTAAGTTTTGAAACAGAGTTTATTGGAAAATTACTTGATTCTGACATTTTGACATAAAGTTTTATATTAAAGAGGTATTCTAAATCATTCGGCAAATGTGTCGCTCGTGCAAGGTTATATCGATTAATTTAAGAATAATCTGTCAAATCGGTAATAACTCAGCGGCCGTACTATAATCACTTTATCCGATGCCAAGGAAATTGTATAAATTTAAAACCGACAAAACAAATGATAGATAATATGAAGGAAAATAATAAATATAAATTGAACAAAGAGGAAGAAGAAGTTTTGGATAGGATAAGACATTTGTGTGATGACTGAAGAGTAATGTTTTTATGTCATGTTTAATCCTACGTGATAATTTAAAATAAATAAAAATGTACACGGCAATGTTTTAGTTTTTATTGCAAAACACGGCAATCTAGATACCAAAACACGGCAATTTAAAATTTCGAAATGGCAACCCTGGTATCTTCGTTCTTCAAGATTAAAACACAACCTACATAAATACAGTCCACTAAGCTCTCATTCATTACACAATAGTTTCTTTAACTTTATTAGTCAGATAGATATCACATTTTTTTAGTTTCTTTTTTCTTCACAAAAGTAAATTATAATAAATAATTAGTCAAACACAGTCCACTTAGCTCTCCATCCACTACAATACCTATCGATGATAATCACGGGTGGTAATCTCTATACAAATATTCTTAGCCTTATGTCTATGGCCCTCAAAAATCGATGTTGACAGCTATTGACTACAAAATGTATAAATATGTAGCTAATACGGATTTAGATTGACGTTTGTTTTGACGTTTCTGTCCACACCCTACCATGTGTCGCGGCATGCGCCGCGGCCATTACGCGACGACATAAAGTGTAAAAATAAAAAATTCAAAGGTTAAGTACAAGAACATAAATAAATACAGTAATCTATGTAGTATGTACAAGAACTTACATAATAATAAGTTGCATGTGTGCTACTTTTTATTATATATGTGTTATGGAGTGAAGACCGCGTCTAGGCGTAGTGTGGGACGCCTCCTGACCAGATGGAGCGACGATCTGCGCAAAGTGGCTGATAAAAACTGAATGCGTATAGCCGAAGATCGGGCTAAGTGGCGCGCCTTGTGAGAGGCCTATTTCCAGCAGTGGACTGCTGCTGATGATGATGATGTGTGCTACCGACACTTTGAGCTGCGATTTGTTATCCAGAATAAATCTGGTTCACCAGGATCTAAGATCAAAGTAACCAGGATGCATATCTCACGTTGTTTACAGAAGCTGAGATCACGACCGGTCAGTAATTTTTCTATTTATTTTTTTCTTAATTCATTATTCCTATAAATATACATTCTATGAAAGCCTGCTGCTGACTGCAGGCATCCTCCATAGATTGCCACTTAGGGAAGATTTTGTCATAGTTGGCGCAAGATAGTGTATATGCCTTGGTTTTCAAACTTGGCAGGCGAGTTGATTACAAGATCTTGACAATGGTAGGCCCTACTTTTTAAACATAACATTCTCACACTACTATCATTATACATATTTGATATTTTCATATTTGTTCTCAAGAACATAAATCACCTCTCAAAAGTAAAAATGTATCAAATGTCAAAATAAGAGTTCTAGCAAATATTGACTAGGGAAGCTGTAGACTATATTGTATACAATACAAGATATTAACAGTTACATCTTTATACATATTAGAATCATAAAAATTAGTAAGAAAATGCTAAGATAGGTATATTTCAAAAAGCTAGTGACGATAATATACATAGATGTAATATACAACATACGAAGAGAAATGTATCAATATTGCCTAAAACCACTTTATTTTTATACAGTTCTGGACCATATTCCATGGCAGTTAAACTATATAACACATTACTCAAAGATATAATAGAAATAGAAGAATATAAGAAGTTTGTGATAGCACTAAATAGCTTTTTGATTAAGAAATGTTACTATAAATTATATGAATATTATGTTAAGTTAAAGTAAATAAATAAATATAGTAATGGAATATACACTAAATATTATAATAATACAAATATTAGTATTAGAATTAAGGCATTAGAGCTAGCTAGCTTGATTTCATATTGTTATACTTTTGCTGGGTGCATGTGCTGTAATTTATCATACAAAACCACATGTAAATGCAATAAATAAATAAATAAAAGACAACCACTATTTCAATACACACCACAGAGACAAACTATACCTACCACCATCAAGAATTAAAATGCTAAACCAGTCGCTACTACATGGCTGTAAAAACACAACATTTACAATAAATTACATATCCACATAAAAACTGAAAATAAAATTACACTATTCATTAAAAAACTAAAAGCATTATTATTATTTAATTGAAAAATGTTTCTACTCAATCAAAGAATACATTGAAGCACTAGTAACAAAACACAAATAACAAATTACATATTTTTAACACAAAATACATAAAAAAAGGAAAAGCCTTAGATTTTGTTTTATGAATAACTTATATGTGACCATTGAAAACTTAACCCTTAGTGACTGATTGTATCTAAAAAGAACCTTTGCAATACTCACACAATCTTAAATAAAATGCTACTATGTTTATCAACTCATTATTACTTTTTTTAATTTTATTTTTGTTGCAGGTTGAAAACTGCCTAGGAGTACTCGGCTATTAAATAGATATTGCTGCATATTTGGTAAATGGGGGAGCAATAAGCACAAACCATAAATACTACAAGGAGAAAAATTTGAGAAAAGTTGTTACATCATTTGAATTGAATATGTGACCTATGTGCAAAGAACCATCAGTCCCGCAATAAAAAATTAGATTGTAATTATAAAGGTTTCAATGGCTGTGGCAATATTTAAAAGAAATTGATGTTTTGCGCCTAGAAGGAAAGAATTTGCTTGCACTTGTAAATTTACACTGAAATGTAAAAATAAAAGACAATAAATATTTCTGTATTTTATTTCTTTATATCTAAATAAACGTTAATAGCGGTTTAAATTTATGTACGTGGTCACGTTGTGAACACGTACATAAGTTTAAACCAATAAAAATAAATTTTCAAAGTTCTAGGAGGGTTTTTTTACAGCCACTGGCCACTAGGCTGAAACAAATAAATACCTTTGCCTTAGATAAATTTAAAAACGTAAATGTCACTTTCAATTTCTGAGGCTGCTATAGACCAATTTTTTAGTATGGAAGATTGTCGTCTGTACGTTAGTACTCTTATTAGTTTGTGATGATAATCGTTAATGGCAGTGTACCTTTTCAAGCTTACTTTACGTATTAATTTCTAATTTTATAGCTAGTTGTGGGGTAAATTTTTCCTCACACTTGTAACCCTAAATATAGTGACGTATTTTTTTTTCTCTCTCTTTCTGCGACACGCTATGCCGGTGTCTATTGGACCCATAGAGTAGAGTAATATATACAGAAACCGCCTAAGGGTATTAGTGTTCTGTGCTATTGGATTCTCTGTCTACGCTTGCTACATATTTATTTATCTATGAATGAAACAAAAAAACATTTTGTTTTGTGGCGCGTATGAATAAATTGGAATTTATTTTTAAACTAAAATAACACTTATTATATTATATATCGTGCACGGTTAATACTAAAAAATTAATGTTGAAAGATAAAATTAAGCATTCAACTTATTTTTATAAATCAATATAATACAGATTTTGAACACGACAATATGGTAAGAGCGTTATCGTTATTATTGATTTTAAGTCCCATTTAAGTACGTTTAAAATTGTGCAATTTTTGTAGTAAACCTAAAATTTATTCTTGAACCTTATGTCCTATTTGTTATTTACAATGAATCAACTTAATTGAACTAATACAATCCATAAAGTTTATTATTTAGATCCTTATAATTTATTATTGGCACTTTACAGGCAACCGTTGTCACTAATTCTCAAAAAAAGAATGTGAATTCTAATGTCCAACAACCAGGAGTACGTAAAAAATCTGGCCCTAAGTTTGAATTATCAGACGAACAGCGTCGAGATATTAAAGAAGCATTTGATTTATTTGATACTGAAAATACAGGTAAAATTGATACAAAAGAATTAAAAGTTGCAATTCGCGCTTTAGGCTTTGAGCCAAAAAAGGAGGAAATAAAAAAAATGATAGCTGAAATTGACAAAGGTGATGGAAAAGTAGCATTTGAGGACTTTCTTGATTTGATGACTGTGAAAATGGCAGAAAAAGATACTAAAGAAGAAATTATGAAAGCTTTTAAGCTTTTTGATGATGATGAAACAGGTTAGTTTTGATGATGATAAAACAGTAGTAACTCTAAACATTTAATATTTTCTATTTTACAAAAGATATTGTAAACATTTAATTAGTATTTTTCGTACTGACCCAAACAAATTAAATGAAATAATCAAACTTATTACATGCATACCAGCTTAAAATAAAAATCAACAAAATATATTGAATATATGTTAAAGATTTTAGTTTTTGGTTACCAAGTAGTGATGGTGTAATATCTAATACATCAAATTGTTCTGTGGGTGCCGTAAGAGGTGACAAAGGGTGACTAACCAGGTGCGAGCAACAGCATCTTCCTAATCTCGTCAAGAAAATATTATTATATTATGATTGGCTGTAATGATTATGAAAATTATATTCAATATTTATTTAGAGAGTTTTATTTACAGGCAAAATATCCTTCAAAAATTTAAAAAGAGTAGCAAAGGAACTTGGTGAAAACTTGACAGATGAAGAGCTCCATGAAATGATAGATGAAGCAGACCGAGATGGAGATGGTGAAATAAACCAGGAAGAGTTTCTAAGAATAATGAAAAAGACTAGTCTCTATTAATAATCTCAATGGGATGTGTGATTAAAATATATCAATTTCCAGAAATTTGATTTAAGAAATCATGTCAATGAATTTTTTATTTATCTGTAAGGTGATATGGGATACAAAAATATAAATTATATCTTTGTATGTCAGCTATATAAGTATATATCTTTACATGAGGGCAAGCTTTACTAATATAGCACAAATCACAAAGCTTAAGCATGTAAGTAGATATATGAGCTATGAAAAAATTGTCTATTATACTTAAAAATACAGCCTTTAAAGTAAATAACGAGCCTACTACAGGTTACAACATTTTCTCATGCCCAATTACCCTTGCTTGGTGTTGAAGCAAAACATATTGAGGATACCCAAGTGCTGTAATGGCACAGGGGGAGTAATTGCTATACCAGTTAAAAGAAATTTTTATCACAGGTACCTGTAAAAATTCTACCTTGGTCTAGCTGAAACCAGGCCTCTGTCACTCTTGCATGAAGGTATCATGATATAAATACCTAGAAACGAAACCTCAGGTTACTGCGTTTTAGGCGAGCAACATACTAGTGAATTTTAAATTTTTACACTGCTTACGTAAATAGTTTTTACATACATTTGCATAAACATTATTGTTTAGTATATTTAGCTATAGGATAAAATAATTATATAAGTTTGAGTACAATTTATATGTATATTTTATATGTTTATTATTGAGAATACATTTTATCAATAATAAAACATACAATTCTTATTTGCATTAACAATTTTGAAAACATAATAATAAAAAAACCAGCAAATTGTTTACTAAAATTATTAATGAATATTAATTTTATCATTCCATGTCTGTGTTTTCTCTCCCAGTATTTACTTAAAATTATACATCAGATTTAAAGCTTTTTCTACTCTTAAATTTATTAACAGTTATTTTAGAGATAGTAAAAAAATGTTGGTATATAGCACTCAGCAATAAAGTTTGATTTGGCTTGCGTGCGTCATGTATCCAAATAATAACAATTATGTATGGTCATATGACCAAAAACTCCCTTAAACTAGTCTTAAACAATAGTTAAAAATAGAAAAAAAGAATTTACTATTTATTTATTTTTGTAGAAATATTATGGTTTATGTTTTTCGCCTATTATCCAAAACCACCCGTTATAATTCAACTTTTAGGAAATCAGCTGTATTGAAGGCACATATTATTTCATAAAAATCATGTTTTTCATTGTATTATAGTATAAAAAGTGACATAATGCACCAAATCTATAATCTAAATCTATGTATTGCTTGTTTTTATTTAGTTTTAATAGATTTATTTTCCGTTGCTTTTGATTAAATAGGATACAGTATTTTTCATGTATAATAGGCATTGTACTGGAGCACTTTATGTGAACTACATGGTTCCTAGTATTAAATTAAATATGGCCTTTTAGTTGTGCTATTTCAAGTTATTTGTAGGAAATAATAACTACTTTTTAAATATTTGTTAAAATATAACTAGATATACACATTTAAAAATTTTAATTGCTTTTATACTACAAAAACTACAATACCATTTACTAACTGTTTTAGTCTTATGGTTGTTATAGAGAATAACCATAAGACTAAAATATAATATATAGATAAAATGATACTTCACTCCTTGAAGTGATCGATTGCCCATACTAAAACAAGGAAAGGTTTAACAAACAATAAACAACCATCCTCAAAGATGTCTTGGTGGGCACTAGACAGAGCAGCACCAGCATTTGAATTGTTTGATTTTGTTTATTTTTGTTAATAAGATGAAAAAGACAACAAATCATGTTTACAAATCACATTACAAAATGTGTTCTACATTTTGTAATGTGTTCTATAGACATGAGCTAAAATTATAAGGTTTTTAATTTGATATATTTATGCATACATGCAGTTGTGTGCAATTTTTATGTTTTTTTTACTGAGTCAAATGTTTGTTTCTCAACACAGCACTTGTCCATATGTATAATTTTTTATTAAATGATTTTGCTATTGCACAATAATTTACGGTAATTTATATACAATTATATTTCAGTTGATTTACAGAAGTTCAATAAAGTTAAAAAGTACTGCAATGTTACTTTAAAACAATTTGTCATAGTCATTGGCTTGTAAAAAGAAGATAAAATTGTCTATATAATATATAATAGCAATATATTTGGGAGAAACCAATGTTCAGCTTGTTGTGTACTTTTTGATGGGCTGAAGTTTCAGACTTTACCATTATCACCAATGCTGTTTTGTGGCTATCTGTAGGGAGAATCCTATGTTGTGGCACAAATGTGTTGGCTTGATCGGGGAAGAACTATACTTTCACAGAATAGCAGCTTCATGCTTTTTTATACAAGAGAAGCAAATGAGCATACAGCTTACATGATGGCAAGTGATTACTGCCGCCTATGAACTATTGGCTAATACCACCGCAATACAAATTCTAGGTACATTGTTGAAGCAACAGCAGCCTAATGGTAGGGTTCGGACAACAAACTCAAAAATGTTTTGGGTTCCAATCTACCTTTTGACTACTGTCAAGAACCCTTCTTTACACATGTATTTTTAGCATACCAGGAGCGGTTAAAAGGAATATTAGTAATGTAGCATTGCTAGTATTTTTTCAAAAAAATAGTTGACCTTTTAAAAAGAGTAGGTTCTGTTCTTGAAGTTGTATTGTTCCAGAAAAATCACTGGTGGTAGTTGATTCCTACTGTTATAATATATAGTAAATCTAGAGAAACACAAACCCTTGAAATTAGATATTCCATTTTAGTCGTCAGTGCCACCACTGTCAAAATTTCGTCAAAATTCTTAATTGAGCAGGCGTAGATGTCTGTATCACAGCATTTATTTACCATCAGGTGGAGTGTGTGTTTGTTGATCACAAATATTTTATAACGGAAACTTTTAAGCTATTGCATAGCTTCTATCGCGGGCCTTGAGCGCGGGGACCGAATCCAGAAATTCCGTAACGAAAAAAACCTCACGCTCCCCACTCCGACGGGCACGGAGGTGTGGCGTTGAAAACCGTGAATCATCTAACGTCGTTTCAGTTCGGCAGACTTCGGCACGGTGTTTGTGTGCGTGCGACTAGACGTATGCGTGTACACTAGCTGCTAACTCAATGATAAAAATTCCTGAATAACCTACATGTATTGTAAGATATTAAAAATATTTTAAACAATATTAACTTTTCATTTATTCAATAAGAGAAAAAAAATTGTTTTCTTATCGGTCACCACGCTCAAAAAGTGTAACTTGATTTAATATCAAAGACTTAACTGCATAAATAAAATAAATAAATAAATATAATTGCGTAAGTTGATAAAAAATGCTATGCAATAGCTTTACTGCGGCAGTCACCGAGTGCCACACGTATTTTTTTATTCAATTTAGATTATAAACAATACTTACTTATTGAGTCATTTTTTCATTTACCACTGGTTTGCAAAAAAAACCTGTCTTGGGAAGAACCAGCAAGAAACCCAGTGGGACTAATTTTTTTTTCAAATAATTGCTTACAATCATGTTTACAATTAACAACACAAGACAAATTAGAAATAGCTTGGTAGCAATCACCCTTCCCAGGGGTTATCATCCATAAATTCCTTAATATTGTAATAACATGTTTTATACAAACTTCTTTAATAAAATTTTTAAACTTTGCATATGACAAATTTTGTATATTTTCTGGGATTTTGTTGTAAAAGCATATACATCGCCTCAAGAATGAACTACGGACTCGGTGGAGTCGAGAAAAAAAAATGTTTAGCAGTGTGCTGAAATGCTGATGATGATTGGCCTGTAACAATCCATGAAATGCTTGTAACAGTGTTAACATGTTTTCCTTGTAATTTGTTTGCAGTGCAAATTCAATTCATTATGTTCTATCACTGTTTTGAAAAATGATTTATCTCAGTTTGTAAAAGACAACCAAAAAATTTATTTTTTGGTTGATATTAACAAATTCATAGTGTAATGGTATAGGTATGGTACTGAATGTTATACTTTTTCCTTACTCAACAACAATTAGATTAAATTGACCAAAAAGTTTTTTTTTTTTAATTAAAAACAACATAAAAAAGTGTAGTGATTTCATCTTATACCTAATAACAGAAACTCATAAAACTAAGCCGATCTTTCTACCACAGTTCCTTCAGGTTGCCCAAAATAAGCCTTTGAACACATCTTCACAAAAAGTCCAGTTTCAACAACTCCAGGAATCATTTTTACTGATGTATTTACTTGTTCCCAATCTAAATCTTGGTTTGTAAATATCCAATCTAGTATAAAATTACCATTATCTGTGACAACTGGCCCAGCTTTTGCTATAGCAGAACGTAGTTTTATCTCTCCTCCATACATTGCTAACACTTTATTTTTTATAGGAACATAGGCCATAGGAATCACTTCAATAGGAATTCCTTTTTTATATCTGTCGCCTAGTTTTACAGAATCTTTGGTGTAATCAGCTATGACTATCAGTGTCTTAGAACAAGAAGCAATTATTTTTTCTTGTAACAAACATCCTCCTCCACCCTTTATCAAAGTCATATTAGAGTCCACTTCATCTGCGCCATCGATTGTTACATCAATAATTGGGTTGGTATCAAGTTCTCCTAATGTAAGGTTATGCTTCAAAATTAGCTGTTTCGCTTGAAACGATGTTGGTATACACACCACTTTAAGGTTTTCAAGTTCAACTCTTTCTGCCAGACGCTGCACTGCATACACAACAGTTGAACCACTACCTACACCAAAAACGCAGTCACTTTTTACAAATTCGTCCACCGCGCGGAAAGCAGCCACTTGTTTTGCTTTTTCTAAAGACATTTTCCTTACATCGAAGCTGAACCAATTAATTGTATATTTAATGGTGTTACGTCTTCTACCCAATACTTTGCAACCAAATAACATACATAGGTAGTTAAATGAAATTCTATTTTTAGAGTTCACAAAATGCATGTGCACTGTTCAGATAATTTTGTTCTGTTGCAGTGTTGCCAGAT